TTAATATTATAATTAGTTTTGTTATAGGGACCGTAAAATAATATGTATATAAATTATTAATTTATTGCTTCCTCCAAGAGGAAGCAAATCTTTTGCTTTGCGCAATGAGGAAGCAAAATGTTCATGAAATGAACATAAACTTCTTTTATAAAAAGGGACCCCCATCTTGTTTATATTAGATATCAATAACACTGGGTTACAAAAAAATGGTCAAGTCGTGTTTATTTAAAATTTTTTGTGTTTATTGAAAGTTTAGGTGTCACTGAACAAGAGTATACCAAAAAAATTTTTTTTCATTCGGTCAGTTCCGTAAAAAACGAGATTAAAGTGTCAAAAAATTGTTTTTTAACACTTTTTGAAGCGTTGTAAAATAAAAACGCAACATGATAAAAATCTCCACAAGGGCTTGAATGAAAGCTTAGACCTTCAACTTTGAGTCCCAAAACTGAAAAGTGATAATTGCGGAGAAAATTTATTTGATATGAAATAACTATCTCAAATAGTCAAAATAGGTGGGATAGAGAGCACTTGTTAAAAATAGATTTCCAAAACCTAATTTTTTTGGAACTTATTACTTGGAAGTTTTTAACTTTTCAATTGACGTTTCGAAAGTTGAATTTAAAACATTGAAAATGGTGGATTGAAAATAGCGTTCAAAAGTTTCAAAAATGGACTTTTTTGAAATTTTGAACGCTATCTTTAATCCGCCATTTTCAATTTTTTAAATTCAACTTTCGAAATGTCAATTGAAAAGTTGAAAACTTCCAAGTAATAAGTTCCAAAAAATTCGGTTTTGGAAATCGATTTTTAACAAGTGCTCTCTATCCCATTTATTTTGACTATTTGAGATAGTTATTTCATGTCAAATAAATTTTCTCCGGAATTATCATTCACTTTTCAGTTTTAGGACTCAAAGTTGAAGGTTTAATGTTTCATTCAAGCCCTTGTAAATATTTTTATCATGTTGCGTTTTCATTTAACAACGCTTCAAAAAGTGTTAAAAAAAACAATTTTTTGACACTTTAATCTCGTTTTTTACGGAACTGACCGAATGAAAAAATTTTTTTTGGTTTATTCTTGTTCAGTGACACCTAAAGTTTCAATAAACACAAAAAATTTTAAATCAACACGACTTCACCATTTTTTTGTAACCCAGTGTAATATTACTTTAAAACTGCACCTTTTTCCAAAGTTTTTATTTTTTTCATTACTTATAGGCATTTTTCATGATTCTCGACTATCAATTGTATGGATTTTTAATAAATTTTAATTATTAAAAAAAGTAATTTTTTTAATTTTATTGATAAAAAATATAATAATGAATAACCTAAATAATATCAGGAAAAAAATTGCTGGACTTTATAAAGAAAAATTTTAAATGGTTGAATTTTCACCGGTCCATACGGAAAACCGAAATTATTATTTCATTAAAAAATCAGTATCGATCAATTTTTAAAGTTTTTGTCTGCCATTTTGAATCCTCCCTTTTGTATTTTGAAAAACTAACATCAGATTTGAATTCAGCAACCTCAAAAACTATTGGATATTGTATTTGAGAATATTTTAGAAGTTATTTTAAAATGTTCGCTCATTGTGCCATTTATCCGCCACATTGGCATCGCCATTTTAAATTTTTGAAAAACGCTACTCAGCATTCGAAAGTATAGAAATATACCAATTTTTTAAGCTTTAGAACATTAAAATCGATTATACAATCAAAGTACTAAATTTTCATTCGTCTGGCATGTCCCGCAGTGTAATTGACAGTTCATATTGTGAAAAAATATTATTTTTCTAGTGTTTAGCGGAAAATTCAAACTTGATTACTCTAAACCTTATTTATAAAATATCTTTTTAAATTTTGTCCCTGGATTTAATTATCATGCGTATTGCAACTTTGAATTCTCTATCGGATAGAATTGCTTATTTTATTATTTAATGTTGTTTCTACCTTTTTTTAAAAAAAACTGCCAAATTCTCATTCGTCTGGCACTTTTAAGACAGGATATACATTAAGCACTAAAAAAAGCGTAAAACTAATCATTTTTTAACAATTTTCGATTTTCTTGACTTAAAATAATCCTCACTAAATTTTTATGATATTGCTAAACCCTAATCTTTAATTTTCATTTTGTAAATATAATTATATTAATATAAATAAACAAATAAAAAGTACTTTTTTCCTGTGAATCGTACGAATATCACAATAAAATCGAAATATTTTTTATTATTAGACACTTAAAGTACTCCTACAGATTTGTGATTTGTAAAATTATGTTCTAGTAGAACACACGTAACTTGTTATAAACAAATTATATAAACAAATTACTAATTAAAGCGATAACTTTTTTTGATCCTTGTAAAATTCGTTACTCGGGGGTTTTCGGGGTAGCTGATTACGAATACGACGTCAGTTTTTCAAAATTCAAAATGGCGGATCCAATATGGCGAACGACTTTTGAAAAAACTTAATATATTTGTCTGAAAACAATAACTCTGGGGTTTTTGGGGTCGCTGATTACGAATCCGACGTCAGTTTTTCAAAATTCAAAATGGCAGATCCAATATAGCGAACAAATTTTGAAAAAAACTTATTAATTTAAATTAACCTGTTTATCAAAATTATACGTGCAAAAAATGTTTCATTCCATACTGTTTCTTTTTAGAATTACCAGATTACGAGTTTTAAGCCAGATTTTCAAAATATGACTATTTTAAAGAAATATCTTAAAAATTGAGGAATTTTAAAAATTGCACTTCAGATTAGTTTTCAATAATTCAAAAACTTCTGGATTTAAAATTTAATAAAAATTGAACAATTTTTTTAAAATTCGTTTAATAGATTAGATTCGAACATTTTAAATATGAAAAACTGACGTCGGAATCGTTATCAGCGACCCTACAAAGTTACCAAGTAAGTAGTCTCCAGTGATTTTAAATATTTGTCCGCCATATTGGATTCGCCATTTTGAATTTAAAAAAACTGACTTCTGATTCGTAATCAGCGACCCCGAAAACCCCCCAGTAAAGAGTTTTAAGCAAATCCGAACGATTTTTTAAAAAAAAAGTCCGCCATATTGGATCCGCCATTTTGAATTTTGAAAAACTGATCTCGGATTCGTAATCAGCGACCTTGAAAACCCCCGAGTAGAGAGTTTAAAGCAAACCCGAACGATTTTTTTAAAAAAAGTCCGCCATATTGGATTCGCCATTTTGAATTTTGAAAAACTGATCTCGGATTCGTAATCAGCGACCCCGAAAACCTTCGAATATTATATTTTGTATAAATCCATTAATTATTTTTTGTGTTAAGGGGGGAACACCAGTTGTAACTTTCGAAAAATCGATTTTTTTTTGTGAATTTTCTTAAAGTATACATATTTAGAAATGTGTCTGTAAATTTCAAAGTTGATCCGGTGAAAAATAAATGAGATATACAGAACACTACAGCGGCGCGTCCCGTGGCTTCATACAAGGTGGCCAGCCATACCTGACCCTAACGACAGATGGCAGCAAATTGGCATTTTAGAATCGGCAACCACTGCGAAAGAGTTATTATATGGTCCAGGAATCGATGACTCTTTGTAAATTGGAAACAAAATTTCTTCTGAACAAAAAAAAGTAAGTTGAAACTTTGAATGCGTTTTTCTCAAAATGACATTTTCCAAGTCGGTGACCACGATTACTCGAATACCATTAAACCGATTTATTTAAAATTTAGTGTGCTTCATTTACACATATAAGTCTAGTTCGTGATCGAAGGATTTTTTTTTTATGCAAAACTTTTTTTTATATAGCTGAAAATCGACAGTATTTTTTAACGAAAATCATACTTTTGACTTTGGTCATTTTGTCAAATTTTTTTTTTTTTTAAATCCTTCGATCAGGAACTAGATAATCTTATAATAAATGTAAATCAATTTCATTTTTGTATTTCAGACGAAGTATACTTGCAGAATGCTGGTCACCGCAATTCGCCTTTTTTCTTAAGGCGCCACTTCAATGGCTCATATCTCGAAAAGTTTTTGTTAAAAAAATTTTTTTTTTCTTTTAAATTACAGCTTTTTACATGTACTTTTAACTAATAAATAGTATTCTTTAAAAAGATTCATTGTTCTTTTGGAAAATATTCTTGTAAAAAGCAGTATTTGTTGAGTTACAACTTGTGTTCCCCCCTTAATGTGAATTTTCTATACACGATCTTAAGTTCCTGGATAAATTGTTTATAAACAACCATAACTTTTGTAAATTTAAAATTTTGTCTGGCCACTTTCAGATATCTTTTTTAGTGTCATTAACTTGAAGTTAAAGTACTTTTCAGACCTTAAATGAGAAAAAAATGTTGTGTCCATATTTTCTTCATTTTCGTCCTTTGTTTGTAGAATCACCCATATATATACTAGGGGGCGACGCACCCTGCGCGCTTCGCGCGCCAACCCCCATTCTCCAAAATTTTCGAGACAAATTCTGAACGGTACGTGAATTGCATGGTGGGCGAGTACAGCGAATTCCAGCGTAGTGTCGAAACTCCCCCCCTTCCCTATTCCCCTCCCCCACCCTAAATTTAGTGGTTAAGATCGTTTCAAGACTCTGAATATAGCCGCAAGTCCTTCCTCCCTTCTCTTCTATCCTCTTCTTTTGACTTGCGGCTATATTCAGAGCCTTGAAACAGCGGGGGCGTTGGCGGCGATATCTTTTTGTAATATAGGTAGATATATATATACATATATGTGTGTGTGTATTTAAATGTGTTTCTACTTAATTTGCATATGACAGGATAAAATTTGTAAAACAAACTAACACTTAAAAAATGTTTTCAAGAAAAAATTATAAATAATGTTTTTATCAAAAAGCTTTCGATGGAAAATCTTGTTTCGTCGAGTTTTTTAATCTACGAACATTCGTTCGAATTTTTATATTACCAATCTGACGATAAATATTGTTAAGGTTCCATTACTTCGGACTTACGTATGATAAGATATGATAGCTGAAAGTCTTACCTTAAAAATGTGCTCTTCTTTCCAAGATTAGCTGATGCATGTAATGCACAAAGACAAATTAAGAATATGTGTCTTATAGCTTCTGTGAATAAATTTGTTTTGTTCAGAATTAGTTTCTTTTTAAGATTATTACTCTGGAATGCGTAAGACAAATTACGTTGTCCAAATGGAATAGCATTTGAGGTTCTAATATTAAATGTTCTGAATTTTCTTTCCAATAAACGTACTTTTAGTTCAAAATTTATAAATCCTTTTACCCGATTCAAATTTCTTATACGATTAGTATCCGTTATCAATACTTTATTCCTGACTACTTGTTTTGTAATAACAGTATTCTCCCGTCTAAAGGAATTTTCAAAAATTTGTCTTTTTTGAGAACTTCTATAAAATAAAATTTGTCTTTGATCTGAAAATGTAATATCTTGTATTTCTTTCCGTTCAGTATCTTTTCTGTTACATAAATCTGATTCAAGATATTTAACTTTTGATCGTAACTTCTGTATGCGGTTATCCTTTTCCCCTAATACAATAAATTCATTTTTTCTCATACTTTTTTTTAATCCGGTAATCTGAATCAATTTTTGAAATTGTTTACTAAAACCAAACTTCAAAAAAAAATATTTATCTTCCACATGTAATGCATTTTTGTTTAATTCTGTAAATACATGTTTTACAAAATTAAATGCAATGTTCATTTGTCGATTAGTAAAGTAAGTGTCGAATCTTATGAAGTATTGAGGTAGTGTATTATGGTTTAATTGCTTATAGTGACGCATAATTTCTGTATTTTCTGTCTCTTCAAAATTATATTTATTTATTACTAATTTGTTTTTATTCAAATTAAACTGATTAACTCCATATTTCAAAGATGGGAAACTTGTCTCTGGTATTAATGGATTAATACTTTGTACTCTGAAAAGTTCTTTTGAATTAAACTGAACTTCTCTGAGTATTTTAAATATATAACTTTCTACATTATCATGAAGTCTATAATTTAACCTAAATCGTTGCTGACTAAAGTTATTGTTATATTGTTCACGGGCAAATCTTTTATAATTCAACCGAAATTTAAGAAATCTTTCTGTATATTTCAAAATAGTATCAGATTGCAAAGTTTGTGATGCTGTAAATCGAATTTTTCTATTGTTAGATCTTCTAAAGTGTCTACGTTCTTGAATAGGTTGATAAAAACGTAAATACATTGGATATATTTTATGTATTAGTCTTTCATCATTCGTTTCTCTTAATCGTTGCAAAATACGAGCTTTTTTACTTCTTCGAAACTTTTTTACTTCATTGTAAATAATAATATTGTCAGATGGTAATTTTCGTTGATTGTAAAACACACGTACTTGATAATAGGGTAATTGATTAGTTTTAATCAAAATAAAGGCTGCATCTCTTGTCACATATCGACTTGAAAAATCAAAATACTTTCTAAATGTTGATTTATCATCTCTAACTGTTATCCTCGTCTTGGATCTTGCATTAAAATAACTGTTATACCTGGAATGAAAAATTCAGTAATTGTATTATTTATAAATTGTTTAAGTTGACAGTTATAAATATACGGGGTAAATTTCCTGTAGCGTACTGAGTGAAAACAAAGTTGAACGGATCGGGGGGAACTTGCACATAGTTTAACCCTATGGGTAAGTACTTTAACCATAAAGTATTGTTAGGTTTTTTCAAAAACTGTAGGTGAGGGAAGGGGTTGAATTTTTTTGAATTTAAACTTTTTTTTTTAGTTCAGTTTTTTTAAATTTTTTTTTAAGTTAAAAATGTGATTTTCAGTACAAAAAGTTGGTTTTACGCCCTTTAACTTTAAATTTACGCTGTCATGTGTTAAGGCCTTTATATTTTTTGTACAGTGAAGGTACGGTCACAATATCTCATGCATGCACTTGCGCATGCATGTAGAAATATTTGTCTGGTCACACTTCAACAAAATCTAGTGAATAGTAAGCAAAAAAAATTTAACAATCCATCCAAGTCAAGTAGTCAATAAAATAAAAGAAATTATTTTTTACGTTTCGACAGCACTGCTGTCCTCATCAGAAACAAAGAAAAAATTTTTTAGCTATAAAATTGTCATCTTGAAATTAAGACGTCAAAAGACAACTTTTGACAAACTTGTCTTTTGACGTCTTAATTTCAAGATGACAATTTTATAGCTAAACATTTTTTTTTTCGTTTCTGATGAGGACAGCAGTGCTGTCGAAACGTAAAAAATAATTTCTTTTATTTTATTGACTACTTGACTTGGATGGATTGTTAAATTTTTTTCCTTACTATTCATTACACCAAGGGATAAATTCATTATTAAATTAAAATCTAGTGAATGATTAGTAACTTTCTATTAATTTTCGAAAAATTTCAGTTTTAACTAGAAAGTTACTAAACATTCACTAGATTTCGCTGAAGTAGGACTTGCTAAATGTTTCTGCATGTATGCACGATGCATGCACGGGATAGTGTGACCGTATCCTGACGATCATCCACGCGTAATTTACAAAAAAACATTCGATTTTTTTTAAATAATGACTGACTCAAAATTATGGTACGCGACAAACTATGGAAGGCACATGGTACAAAGAGTCAAATTATGGTACGATTAAATAATTATGGTACGGTCTGGCAACACTGGACGTAATTCCGCATCCAACGAGCCCTATGTGGACTATTTTGGATTAGAGGATTTTTTATAAACAATTGCCATGTTAGCCAATTGTTTATTTAACAATCCACTAACCCAAAGTGCTTCATATAGGGCTCGTTGGATGCGGAATTTTGTCAACATTCATTTAGTAATGTCAGAATTAGGATTCCTTTATTCGTTTATAAAATATATAAATTCTTTTTATTTTTGGATAAAATTGATGTGATTAATTTTGCAATTAATAAAGAGATTTTAGGCCAGATTTTTAATCCATCACCACAAATAGTTTATTAGATACGACGTTTCGGCAGCTGCCGCTACCCTTATCAAGTATTACATCAAGTAATTATACACTAAAAATGACAAGTTGAAAATCTTAATTAAAGTTTGAAATTAGTTTTATTTTTTACATTAAATTTGGAAAGAGCTGTACTTACGTTTAAACTGTTATATTTAAATTATAAAGTTTCATTAAGGAGGTTATGTTTAACCATCTCCTTAATGATCATTATCATTTTATTTAAAATAATGAATATTTGTATAAAAATTTTTTAAAAAGTGTATTGTTTAACTTATTATTATTTTTGTTTTTTAATTTTTATTTTGAATTAGTTAAACTTTTTGTTTTAAAAAAAAGAAAGAAATATAAGGATGGTTATATCCATTCTTATATAGTTTGTGTAGGACTAATGAAATACAGCATTCCAGATATTAATTCTATAGAGACTGTAAAAATGCTGATAATGTAGAACATCTCATTATCAATTTATTGTACATTATTCAAAAAACCTTGGTAGATATTTCCTAACTTTTCAATATCAGCTTTAAAATTTATTGATTTTTTTTCTTTTGCTATATATATCATTTCAAGAAATTTTCTTTTATAATAGTTCTGTTCTGTGTTCAAGATTGTTACGTTATTAAAATCAAAGTAATGGTTGTTTTCAGTTGCATGAGTAGCTAGAGCTGTGTTTGTTTTTTTGTATTTTTAATATCTCTAGCGTGTTCTGTTAATCTAGTTTGTAAATATCTTAATGATTCACCAATGTATATACTGCCACATTGGCATGGTATTCTGTATATGGTATTAATTTGTTGTTTCTTTTCTATTTTATTTTTAGTTGAGTGCAAAATATTTTTTTGAATTGTGTTTTCAATTGATTGCACTATTCTTATATTGAATTTATTGACAATGTTGTAGAAGATATGTTCTAAATCTTTAACATATGGTAATGAAATAGTTGCAATATTTTTATTATTAATTAGAGTTTTTTTGTTATTAGAAATTAAATAGTTATACCTTTCTTTGATTTTTTTATTTAGTATGTCTATTGGAAAACCATTTTTTATAAAGTTTCTTTAATTATTTGAAGATTTTCTTCGTGCAATTTTTCATCTGATAATTTAATTGCTCGATCTACTAAACCAATAATTATGCTTAACTTATATTTTAAACAATGTTCTGAATCATAGTTTATATATCGTCCTGACCATATTGGTTTTCTAAACCAATTTGTGATTATTTTATTATTTTTTATATAAAGTGTTAAGTCAAGAAAGTTTATATTATTGTTTATTGCTTCTTCCAAAGTGAATTTTATTTTTTCATTAATTGAGTTAAATTTTTCAAAAAAATGATTTATTTTATTTTTAGGTAAACAAATTAATGTGTCATCAATATTTTGCACTCAACTAAAGATAAAATAGAAAAGAAACAACAAATTAATACCATATACAGAATACCATGCCAATGTGGCAGTATATACATTGGTGAATCATTAAGATATTTACAAACTAGATTAACAGAACACGCTAGAGATATTAAAAATACAAAAAACAAACACAGCTCTAGCTACTCATGCAACTGAAAACAACCATTACTTTGATTTTAATAACGTAACAAACTTGTACACAGAACAGAACTATTATAAAAGAAAATTTCTTGAAATGATATATATAGCAAAAGAAAAAAAATCAATAAATTTTAAAACTGATATTGAAAAGATAGGAAATATCTACCAAGGTTTTTTGAATAATGTACAATAAATTGATAATGAGATGTTCTACATTATCAGCATTTTTACAGTCTCTATAGAATTAATATCTGGAATGCGGTATTTCATTAGTCCTACACAAACTATATAAGAATGGATATAACCATCCTTATATTTTTTTCTTTTTTTTAAAACAAAAAGTTTAACTAATTCAAAATAAAAATTAAAAAACAAAATTAATAATAAGTTAAACAATACACTTTTTAAAAAATTTTTATACAAATATTCATTATTTTAAATAAAATGATAATGATCATTAAGGAGATGGTTAAACATAACCTCCTTAATGAAACTTTATAATTTAAATATAACAGTTTAAACGTAAGTACAGCTCTTTCCAAATTTAATGTAAAAAATAAAACTAATTTCAAACTTTAATTAAAATTTTCAACTTGTCATTTTTAGTGTATAATTACTTGATGTAATACTTGATAAGGGTAGCGGCAGCTGCCGAAACGTCGTATCTAATAAACTATTTGTGGTGATGGATTAAAAATCTGGCCTAAAATCTCTTTATTAATATATAAATTCTTATTAACATTAATAAATAATTATCTCAAAAATAAGAAAAAAGGACATCTCAATATTTTTTGTGGTGAAAACACACAATTTCAGCTTTCAAAAAAAAATATAAAAAAAAGACCGAAATTAAAAAAAAATTCGAAAAAATTTAATTTTCAAAAAAATAGGTCAAAATTTGAATTTTTTGAAAACTTTTTGCACTATTCGAAAGGGCAGGAAAAAAACTTTCAAAACATACAACACAAATTTTTTTCTTGTTTCTGTTTTAAAGTTACAAGTCTTCAAAAATTCACTGTTTAAATTTTTCAAAAAAATTCAACCCCCTCCCTCAACGACAAATTTTGAAAAAGCCTAACAATACTTTGTGGTTAAATTACTTACCCCTAGGGCTAAACGGTGTGCAAGTTACAGCCCGATCCGATCAACTTTTTTTCTTATTTGTCCAAATGAACCACCTATTTCAAAGAATTATTATTACAAATTCATTGAAATCTGAATTAATATTATTAAAATTAAAATTATTAAATTAATAATAAATAAATAATTAAATAAATTAAAATCGACATTAAGAAATTATTATTAAAAATAATTTTACTGAAATTGCCTAAAAACAAATAAATTATTAAAAAGTCTTGAAACGAACATAACCTTTAAATTCAAGTCATTTTTGGCGGGAACTCCACCTCCAATTGCGGCTATATTGAAAGTCTTGAAATTTACATAACCTCAAAATTTATGTCATTTTTGGCGGGAAATACGGAGAGAGATGAGGGAAGGGGGAAGGACTTACTGCTTTATTCAGAGTCTTAAAACAAACATAACCTCAAAATTTAGGTCATTTTTGACGGAGGAGGGGAAATGAGAGGAGGCAGGGAGGGACTTGCGGCTATATTCAGTTAGAGACTTGAAACTTAGATGGTTGGAAAGCTGATGAAATTCTGCGTCTTGCCATATATCAAGAAATTTTTTTTAGTTTTTGGAGCGATTATAACACCGGAAAGGTTTCCACACAAAATTAGACAATTTTCCCATTTTCAAACTATTTATTTGACTCTCGGCAAAATGTTGAAAAATGTATGGAAAAATTTGAAACTTCCGCAACATAATATTCAATAACTTGGCTTTAATTTGCGTTTTTCAAACATAAAAAATGTTTTGTGGTTCTCGAGTTATATTGAAAAATGTTCGAGCATGTTTTTCTATAATTCAACCGCCGATCATCACTTTTCGCCGCCTCGCAGCTCTCCTCGTTCGTTCCGCCAGGGCCGAAT